AAATTAACGTTTAAAATCATATCTTCAGTAAAAATGGGGGGACATTTTGCCGTAATTTTTAAAAAAGGCCCACACCTTATCTGTATTTTTTGGGAAAAAGTAATCAACTCGAGAAGAGGAAAAATGTGCCAATCAAATATCAAACAGGAAGGAAAAAAAGTCTCACTTAAAATCCAAAATATTCCGGACACATTTTGTTCCTGACTCTGGGGTGCCATCTCACTATCTCGGAGGACATGGCTGGACAGTGGCTGGATGGAATATTCAAGGCAAGCCTTAATTTTTAAAGTGAGATGGCCAACATCATCTTTAAATGCCATGCCTTTTCATATGTTACATAAAATTAGTTCCTTTCTGTTAAGTGCTGTATCTGTTATACAATTCTAAATAATTATTTCTGATTGAGATGGCAAATTAATCATTCGGTGAGGGAGGGGGAACACGTGTCTAATTGGAGGCTGTGAAGTTCAGTGAGGTGGTATTTTTAGCTTGAAAAGTCCAAATTCAGATATTTGGGTATTTCACCCCCTCCCATCGTCTCCCCACCTCGTCCCATTTTACTCTCTTTCAACTCAACGATTTGGGCTCCCTTTTTCCCTTTTCTTTTCCTTTCTCGCCTCTGTCTTTCCTCTCCCTCCTGTAGCGCCTCTCCCCTTTCCTCTCCCTTCTCCTCCTCTCCCATCTCACTCTTTCTCCCCTCTCATTTATTGTCTGATTCTATCATTCAAGTTAATATAAAAGTAGCAAGTGGGAGGCCCAGCACCCTTAGCTGGCCCTCTCCACCGCGCGCGCCGGGTGCTTTGGGGTGTTTTCGCTGCCAGGTTACCGGCCGGAGTGGTGGCCCTTGGTGCAAGGCACGCCGCTTGCGGAGGAGTTGGGGTCTGCGCGGGGTTGCGGGGCTTATTCAAATACCGCCCGCTGCTGCTGTGATTCGCAGGGACTCGGCCTCCATATGGTAATGCGGGGCGGGGGTTGGGGGGAGGCGCAGAGAAGAGGGGAGGGGAAGATGGGGGTGAGGGCGGGGTGGGAGGGGGCTCCGGCACCGCGCGCTAGGCTGCCGGGCTGGGACAGAGCACCCGGACCCACGGCGGCAGCGGCAGCGACGCTACCCACCCTCTGCCACAACACCAGCCGAGCCAGCGAGCCAGCGAGCCACGGGCCCTCGGGGTAAGCCACAGCGCGCACACGGCAGCGACGGTGACGGTTCACATGCTTCGGGTTACTAGCATGCGCCAATAAGGGGAGATTAGAAACAGAAAAGGAGATTACAGAAACATCAGAGATAAGAGGTGTACCTCTCTGTGTCCCTTGTCACACAGAGCGCGCGCGCGCGCACACGCATCTGTACACACATGCATGCTCAGACAGCCGTACATGCACACATTTTTTGCCACTGCCATCTAAATATATGCACCAACACTCGATGCCCTGCAAAGTGGCCGGTGTGTTTGTCCTTATCCTGCATAAAGGCGGACAGGTACGGTTCGAGAATCCAGGCAGGAACAAACAGCCACGCACAATTTAATTGCAGCCAAACTCAGAGAGACATTTAGCCTGCTGAATTGTTTCACGCAGCCCGGTGAAACCCAGAAACCCGCAATTCTGCAACCAGTTGTGAAATCCTACAATTATTCAGAAAACGGGCTGAAAACGTACTTTAGGAAACCTAATCTTGCTATATATGGCAAGGTAAGGGTGAACCTGAAGGATGAGTGTGTTTCCGTTTTTTAATGTTTTACGTGTAGCCATCTGACCACTTTTTATTGGGTGACATATCATATGAGCACTTTGGTGTAGGCTTGGAAAAACTACAGCTAGAGGTAAGGCTGGAAATGCCATAAGAATTAAGGGTGCTAAAAATGGTATGCATGGGCTGGAGCTGCCTCCTCTAACCTGTTCTCCGAGCCAGGCAGCCGGCGGTCCTCAGCCGCCCACAGAACAGGAGCCGAAACAACCGTTCCCGAAGGCTACAGCATTTATTTTTCTCTTTTGGGGGGTTTTGGCGGTTGTTTCAGGGGCTCGCCAACTGGCCCCTTTAATTAAAAGCTTCAATAAAAGGCGATCGCGCCAGGAATGCACCCGCTCCTCTTCGCTCAGGATTTGCATATTTTTTTAATGCCCTAATTTCCTTGATGTATGTAAATGTAGCCGGACGTAGAGGGAGACAGGGAGCTGACGTCAATGGACGTGACCTCGCAGCTAAACCTTGAACGTGAAGCCGGGATGGGGGAAAACACGGAGCGGCAGCCGGCGGAGCCCGCGAGTGCGGGCGGCAGCGGCGACAGAGCCCAGGTCGGAGGTGCCAAGGGGGCCAGTGTCGGCCTCGGGGGAGGACAAGCCGCCGCCTTCTTTCTGCACTGCCCGGCTCCCAGTCTCGCCACTCTTCTGGTCGCACACGCGGACTTGTCTTGCGCCTCCAGCTCCACCAAATACATGTTCTTTTGCTTTCCCCAGAAAAACAACACAGCCCAAAACAAACCCAAAACAACAGATAACAAATCAAATCCCCAAAGGTTTTACACCAATGCTGTGTAGCTTCCTATGAAGAAGACTGACAATGGAACATGATTTTTTTTTTTTTTTTGGCTTCTCTCCACAAGAAGAGGAGGGGGAGACCACAGACAACAGCAAACCACTCCTAAAACACGATAAGCTACACGTGTTCCCAGTAGGGAGAGGTAAATCGCCCAGCCGACTGGTGGGGGCTTCTCGTTTCGGTACCTATTTACCTGACCCTCATTGTGCGCGTCAGCTTCATTAACAGTAGTGCTATGAGCGCGCGTTTTAATGAGATGGGAGTGTCGTGTGTGTGTGTGCGCGTGTGTGTGTGTGCGTGTGTGTGTGTGTGTGTTGGGAGGTGCTTGGGCTGGTGAGCACCGAGGCAGACGCTGTGAGCGAGGTGAGAGAGATCAGTGTCTTTCCATGGCTACGTCTGGGACATATCTGCGGAGCCATCTAGACCAGGGCTCCTAGGCTGGGGTTCGAGTTCACCCCTTTGAAGGGGGAAGGCCAGAGAAGGCTTCTCCTGAAGAACCAGGCCCTTCCGATTGTATTGTTTGGGGAAAGGGTTTTAAGGTGCGAGCTATTCGGTGGCCGCTGCCTTGCCGGATTTGGCCTGGTGTTTTTCACTCGGATCTCAGCAGCCAGGGGACGGAGGTAGTGGCTCTGCGAGAGACCCCCCTCTACTCCCCGCGGCAGCCCCGCGCGCTAGCGTGTGCGTGCCCGCGCGTCGGGCGGGGGGCGCGGGCACCTCCCTGTGCGATCCGCCCCCGCCTCTGCTCGCCCCCCTCTCCTAGGTAACTAAGAAATTAGGTCCTCGGCCTCTTCTGGGCCAGGGGCAGAGCCGCGGGCAGGCAAGGAAGGAGCGCCCGAGGCCGCGATGTCGGCTTTCCAGCCTTGGCCGCGGCCGCCAAGGCTTCTGTTCCTTCGTTCCACCTCGCAGCCCCAGCTTTGTTTTCCTGACATGCTCGTGGCCACTGGGCCCCACGCCTGCGAGGGGAGTGTGTGCGTGTGCGTGTGCGTGTGCGCGGGGGGCGATGTCGGTGCCCAGGCTCACTGTGTGCTGCGATTCAGGTTTCCAGGCCCTGATGCTGACAGCCCTGTTGGTGGGGCTGGGGGTGTCAGCGGGGCTGCCCCTGGGAGCGCTCCCGGAAATGCTCCTGCCCTTGGCATTCGCAGCCACCCTCACCGCTTTCATCTTCAGCCTCTTTCTCTACGTGAAGGCTCACAGGCCCAGGGGGGCAGAAGGCCCTCGGCGGGACGGATTCCTGCACCACCTCCCCGCCTCCCCGCGCCTACACCCCTGACAGCCTCCCAGCTCGTGTTGCAGGAAGCCCACCCTCCCTTCAAAGCCCCCACCCTTCTTCCTCTGCACACTTCCACCCCCCACCGTCTCGCGTCCCTCTCTCTTTCCCTGGAAAATACACACACACACACACGCACGCCCTTTTTCTTCCCTCTCAAATAGATAACCCCTATGGCGCGTTCCTGGTACCTTTTGAATGGCTCTGGAGTTTAAAGAATAAAAATCTTTATAATGTATTGCTTGTCTTTAGCCAAACGCATTAAAAAACCACAACAAAAAGAGGGGGAGGAGTGAGGAAGGGGGACTTGAACCAAAAGACCTTTCTTTAAAAAAAGAAAAAGAAAAAAAAGTCTGCAAGTCAAAAGGTCATTCTCCAAGTTTGTAAATAAAATTGCAAAGGGAGTCCTTAAAAAAGAAAGGGAGAGGAAAGAAGGAAGGAAGGTAGAAAGACACTCAATTTATATAAAATGGTGCATTGGAAAATCAAGACAGGGCGATTCTTTAAAAAAAAAAAAAGAAAGAAAGAAAAGAAAGAAAAACCTGAAGAAACCAAAGTGGAAAAAAATTGGAGAAAAAAATAAATAGAGAAGAAAATAAAAGGTAGAGAAGGCAAAAGAAGTTTCCAAAGAAATGAGTGCTTTGCATCCTACAATAGGAAAATGTAACCATTGCCCCCCTTCAGACGAGACATTTCTAATTTGTTCCGTCTGTCAGGAGGGGACTATGAGAGGTTTGGGTGCAAATTCATTATCTCTGGCAACGCAGAACGTAGTGTGGGGACTGAAAAAGACCGTGGCAATGGATGAACAATAGGGCTTCAGTTCATCAGTAACAAAAGCAGTGGGGAAATTGGTTGAGTTTCAGAGCACGTCCTCCTCGGCAGAGGGGGCTGGACTAGACCTTGGACAGCCCCCCCAAAAACTTGCCGAGCCTTGCACACACCACTTCACTCTCCACTCCGAGGCTCAGGGAGCAAGTGCCTGGCGTGGGGGGGAAAAGTTGGCTTTTTTTTCTTCCTTGGCCTTTTGCGCTCTTCTCTCTCTCTCCAAAAGGGAAAACCCGTTTAAACTATTTTAGACGCAATCAAGCAAGAATCACCATCTGGAATTGAGCGGCAGTTTTAAATGTGCTAAAGGGAGGAATGGTCAGAAGAAAAAAACATTTTTTTTTTAAATTTTTTTTTTTAATTTTTGAGACGCCGAGAGGAGCCTGTTTGTGTGCTGCGGCCGCTCTGTGACTCTGGATCTTGTCTTCTGGCCGGCGCCTCGACTCCTGCTCAGCTGGATTTGGGGAGCAACACTGCCTGGCGTAGGGAGATCAAGTGAGTATGTGGCGGCCCGCAGGCTGCAGCTCGGCCGGCGGCGCGGGGTCCGCAGTGCCCGCAGTGCCCGCCGCGGCCCGCGCCCGCACCCCTCACCTCGCCCGCGAACCCATGCCTATAGAGCCCTGCTGCGGGCCGCTCCGAGGGCCAGTCCGGGGCTTTGCTTCAGCTAATTGATTGTGTGCCTCTAATGCTAAACCTGTTGATCTCTTGAGTTGTCTGAGCCAGGGCTCTTAATTATCCAGCGGCCTGACCCCCAATCGCAGAGAAATGTCAGGAAAATTTCACGTTAGAAAAGGGAATTTCGTATGTAATTTTGTGTTGTTCGTGGTGAGACTTTTCCCTCTTAAATCTTAGAGCTAAATACAATTGGATTTTTGAGTTCTTGGATTCAGGACTCGCATTTTGAATAATTCCGCCTCCTATTAATCGCCCCAAACTTGCAATTACCTGGCAGTGAATCGAGGGTCTGATTAGATCCTGATGGAAAACTTCCGTACAGTATCTAACTAGATCTGAGGGATTTCCATCTTCTTTTTCTCTTTGCCTTTTGGATTTTGGGAGGCAAGAGGCTGCTTTATAGGGTTTCCCCAATTTCAGATTCATCAAGATGCAACCACCGTGGTTAGTTATGGAGACCGGGAGCGGCTCATCTTCAGATGCTTCTGATATTCGAGCAGAGCCGGCTCTTTGAGGTTTGCTTAGAGCCTAGACGTGGCCGAGGAGTGCAAGAACTCCTTTCGGTGGGCTGGAATTATTTGCGGGAACCTGGGGTGGTGGGAAACGGGGCAGTGTATGTGCATTAGTGACTGTAGTGTTTTCTCTTGCAAATGTTCCCGCGGTGCTTGAATGAGGGACTGTCTTGAGGGTTCCGGGCAGCAGTGGAATTGGTCAGAAGTTAGACCAGGCGGCCCTGTCAAGTCACGGCCACGGCCGGGGCCGCTCTGGAGCCGTGGTTGCCTTGGGCCCAGAACAGCAGGGTCGGATCCAGTTTCCTCCCTTTCCTGGTGGCCATCTCTGCCGACTACCCTCCTTCTCCAGCTTGGCACCAGTAATTAGGGCGCTGTCTCAGGAAGTGAGCTTCCATAGGCAGCATAATTGAACCTGTGCCGTACTTTCATTTTGCAAAACCAGTAGCCCCACCCCACCAGTCCAAAATAACAACAAGCTTAAAAAAATCATAAAAGAAAAGCAACCTAATTTGGGGAATGTAAGACTTCCTGAATAGTGGATCGTGGGGGGTGGGGGAAGGGAATAAAAAAATCCACCACTTCACAGCAATCAGGTTTTACATTATTCATTGATTTACTGAAGGAAGGAGCCAATCAGGAGCCGTGGATATGAATGCACATCTCACCGTGTTGTGGCCTTACAGTAAACTATTTGCATCTTTCTAATGGATTAGGTATTTATCCAGGGATTCCCATTGTTTGAAAGGTCTGGAAATTCAGTCCCTTAAACATTTAGAAAATAAGACTTTGTTCCAGTCTTAAAATCCTTACATGGAAGGACTCTCACTCTTCTTTTGTATGGCAGGTTACAAAGTTCAAATCCCTAATGTTTCTTAAGAGTCTCTCTTCCTTCCAAGCTAAAAATAAAAGAAAGAAAAAATTAATTTTCCAAACCCCTCCAGATTCTGCATGTTTTGCATTCCCATTATCATGCATGTCTCCATTTAAATGCAAATTAGCATATTTAACCCTGTGGGTGCTGAGGCCCAGGATGCATTAAACTGGGGTTTTATGGGATCTCTTGGCATTTTAAGGAATCATGGTAATTGCAATTCTTTAAGAGAAGCCATATCTAGATATGATTATATAGATATATATATTAAAACTATGATCATTTGTTTTCTTGACTATTTTTCAGATGAGACTGCAAAGAAGCATAATATGAATAGACAATCCAACCAACCAAAGGTAATTTTAAAATTTATGTTTGATAAAATCAAAGTGATGTTCAAATCAAAATAGAATGTTATTTACTGTGTGGCAGGCCTGCAGCATATTACATATCTCCCAATTCATGCAATAGATAGAATTCCAGAAAAACCCAAGTTTCCATATGCGCAGTTTTTCCCCTGTAGGGAGCCTTTGTGTATTATAGATGGAGCATAATATAAACATAATTTGTAACTACCTATAAAAAAGAAATTTGAGATACAAAAGAAATAATAGGATACTTTTATTAGGAAGTAAGCCAGTCAAGTACCTCGCCTGAACTATACACATCGCTGTAAACTAAATGGCTTTCATGTATAAAATGTTAGTCTTGACTCTATTAATATACTGTGGTTTACATGAATGAGAATCATACAAGCCAAATATTAAAAGGATTTTGGTGATGGTCTAATTCTTTATATACTCTGCAGAAGTCTGAATAGGATTCAGAGGTGTTCTAGATTTTGGTGTCAAACCTGATGTATCTGAATTTATGGAATAGCGTAATTCCGATCTAAATATGTAAAAATTATAACTTTTCACTTTTAACTTAAGTAAAGGTTGTTTATTCCCAAGTAAACAAGGATGTTTCAATTCATGTTTCAGCCATCTGGAGACCTGTAAAAAGATTAGAAAACAAGCATGACAATCACGTCCTAATCTACTGGCCATTAATGGGAATTTATTAGAGAATGAACAGGGAAGTCATTTAAATTCAGTATATCCTTCAATATGCAGATTTAAAAACAGATATTCTGTAGCTTAGCTAAATAGCTTTTGAAAGCAAAAATATCTGATATAAAAACATCTAGTTATTAATACTTGCTCTTCACAATATGTGATAGACATTGCTAGGAATCTTTAGACCTGCACAATTATTTCAACTTGTCTACCATCCTACTTAATAATACAGTCCATGATGTGTATTTGATAAACCATGTTATAAACCTTGGCAAAACTCAAAATAATCAGGCGCTCAGTGTTAAGCCTTACTATGTATTTTTTTTATTTCTCCATACCCTGAGAGATGATGGAGAGGTAAAATATTTGATTAGCTATATGGTTAATGGACAGACTGCCCATAATCCTATTGTTGGCTATTTTCACTCATTGGGGCTTCTGTGATGAATCTATATATATGATATAGATACCACATATACACACACACACCATCTATATACCATCTATATATGAGATGGTATATGTGCCAGGTATGGGAGCCAGTCCTAGAGTCAGTTGATATGACTTTGTGGTATTGCCCTAGAAGATATAATTTTAATATAGTATCTTCTGTAGCTCCTAACTGTAGAAGCATCTCAAATATTCAGTATCTTGGCTTTGACATGGGAGCCAGTCCTAGAGTCAGTTGATATGACTTTGTGGTATTGCCCTAGAAGATATAATTTTAAGATAGTATCTTCTGTAGCTCCTAACTGTAGAAGCATCTCAAATATTCAGTATCTTGGCTTTGATGATGGGTACTTTGGTTCTAAAAATGCATGTAATTTTTAAGTGTGGAAATATAGCCATATTAATCGGCAAATTCACACAAATATGGGGTGATACACACACACATACACAGACATACATACATCACATTTCTCTGCTTTTGCCAACTCCCACCCAGGTAAATATAAAGCAAAAAGGTATCCTAAAAATATCTGGAATTTCTTTGGCTATTACTTAAGGAATTGAATTCATCTGATCACATGCTTGCTTTATATAATACATGCCAAATCACTAATGATTCTGCTTCTATGTCTTGGAAAGCAAGACCACAATACTTTCAATCTCCCAAGGTAGCAAAGCTCATTAGGATTTTACATAATGTCAAAAGTGGCATGTGGCTCACTGATGTGTTAAATTTCTATTCAGTAGTTTATGGCGTGCCCAGATAGTTCAAGAAGGAACAGTAACTCCATTGGAGTGTGTTTTTCTGAATTAGTTTGTAGTTTGCATGTGCATTTTATATATAACCCAATGCAGCCATTTCTGATCGTACCTCTTGTGCCATAATTTGATAAGAAAAGTAGATAAGCAATTTCCATAGCTTAGTCATTTCTAAATAATTAGTACCAGAATGCTCACCGAAAAAGTAAATAAATAAATAAATAAACTAGTGAAAACTTGACATCTGTGTTACTAAAGCATATTTTTAATTGGTGTGATATTGTTTGAACTCTTGATTGGGGCTTTTCCTGACAATTCTGGTTTCTTTACTTGTCAGTCTTTTCTGTAGGGTTTACATATGTGTACTTTGTATGTAATTTGGTAAGCATGTTCACACTCATGTTTAAGTAAATAAATCATTGAATTAATGAAAGAGTATATGTTAATTCTGAAAGTGTTTTAGTCATTGGGGAAAATAACCTATAGAAATGAGAGTATTGTGATAAACTACTGATGTGTACAAGGAATGTTAAGAATTATTGCATTCTCTTGTAGCACATATTTTAAATAATAGCAACATCACCAAACATAACTCACAATTTTGAAAAACAGTTCATAATGTTCACCCATGGTGAATATGTATCCTTCACAGACTTCCTTAGATGTTCTGTTGAGGGGCATCTGAATATTAGACCTATACCTATTAGAAATGTGTTAGGCATAGATTACCCATTACGAAGGAGAGAGGAGGAGAAAAGAACTCTTTGAAGAGATCATATTCACACTTAGAAAAGTTCTAAGGAAAGGAATCATGTTAATTAATTAATAAAATAACATTCCTCTCTAGGTAGAAAAAAGATGGGGGTGTGGAAGGGAAAGGTGGAGGTACAGTTATGCTCTTAACATCTAGGTGTTTTATCTGTATTTTTCACAAGGTGGTAATACTTTTCTCATATGAAGATTGATGTTTAAAACAAAAGACAAAGGCTCAGCATTTTTATTACAGCAGAGTTGTGTACAACATTAGAAACTATTGCTGCAATGTTTACCTGTGCTGCATGTTGAAGCACACACCCTATATATGCAGTCATTTTTAAAAAAACCAGGATGAAGTCTGCTTGCTTAGAGCATTCAGTTTGAACTTACAGAACAAAATACGATGGTCAATCGCCATGGTACATAGATACAAAATATGACTGAGCTGTGAAGCAATTAAAAACACAACAGCAGAGCAAATTGTCAATGTAATCACAGATCGACTCACTGCGTAATACAGATCTGATGTCCAGCCCCAGAAAGCGAGGCCCTGCTTTAAGCAATAGCAAAGTGCCTTCCATCTGTCTGCCTATGCAATCTGCCAGAAGAGAAATGCAGGCAAAGACGTTCCCCAGGTCTGAAATGCTTTTATCTGTCCTTAGAGAGAGATTTCTTCCAGTCTTTGGATATTAGAGCGATCTACGCTAGCACCAAGGAGGTAAAAGGCCGCGGGTTGCTTTTCTAGGAGCAGTCGGTAGTGCTTAGCGGAAGAGATGTTGATTGAGAAAATAGGGCTTTTTGCAATGCTGCCTATGCTGCTGCTGCCGCTGCTGCTGCTCGGGCAGCAGGCGTGGGGCAGTTGGCTGATCACTGATGCATATCAATAACCATGTACTTGAGGTTTCTCATGACATCATCATTACCTTGGTCTCCCGCGGTCTCGAACCTTTGACCTTGCCGGGCTGGTCCGCAATTTGGCAGTGAAAGCCCCTCCAATGATGGCCCTTTTCTCCTTCTTTCAGACCGGGGGCAGCAGCACGCCAGCAAGACGGCATCTTCTCCTCCCCAGCCTAGAAGCCCTGTGAAATCGAGGATCTTCCCCCTAAAACACACACACACAAGATATGTGCAATCAAGCTGCCACCTCTTGGTAGAAAGCTCACGGTGCCTAACCCCAAAGGATCGGGAGCAGATACTTGAATCAGCTGTCACTTCTATAGAATGGGATTTTTTTGTTTGTTTTTATTTTTTTCCTTCCTCCTTAACCTGCACTGGAAATTGCCGTTGGCTTTATACATCTCTGTAGAGGGAGGCTAAAGAGTCTTGCGTGAGAATGAAGCAATTTACAATGCAAATAGAGGCCTGTGAAGGGATGGATGCTGCTGCTCACTCCCAACAGCTTGCTGCACCTTAATAGCTGGTTTTATTTTCTGATATTAATAGATGAATTGTTGGCTAACGCTGCCGGAGATTACTTGCTGAAAGGAAAAAAAAGTTCGGAATAAACTCTGAAGGCAACAGATCTCGTTTGGATGTTTTAGACGCACACACACAAACAGAAACAAGGTCATATTTACATAAACAAGGAATCTTAAGCGCGGCAAGTATCCTGGACAACTACTCTTCGGTGCTGCCAGAAAGGATCCGGATCTGAAGTCTGGCAAGAGGAAGACAGAGGTGTGTGAGGGAAGCGAGTTGTTATCTTTGGTTATCTAGCTGTATGAGTGTATTGGTCTTCATAAAGCTAGATAACCGAAAGTAAAAACTCCTTCAAGATCGCCGGGGAGCGTGTGAGCATGAAAGACTACAACCAAGAGACAGTAAAAACCAGAAAGGTCAGGAATACTTATTGAATCTAACTTTGTTTTTTTTTTTTTTTTCTTATGATTAAAGGTGGGATGAGAGGAAATTAAGTGACACACATAGGCTAAAATATAAAGGTGCCAGATATTTTGAGAGGGATTGTTATAGGTGCAAAAGAGAATTGTATAATGCTAATGAATGAAGGTGCATGTGCAGTTTGTTCTGTTTTAAGGCAAAAGTTTATATACGAGGGATATTTTTTTCTTAGAAAGCTGTCCTAGAGATGTCTGGTGCCTGGTTTAAAAATGATTCCATAATATGTAGACTTGGGCAGTTCCCTTCTGAGGCCCCTCCCCTCACCCCAAATTTGAGGATTGTGCTTGGAAACTACTTTACATGTATTTGGGCTGTATGTCAAATTATATGAAATTGGACTTTCAGAGAAGTTTATACTGGGAGGTTAGTAATTTATATCTACTGAGGACTTAGAGCTAGCAAGGAAAATGAAAAAAAAAAAAAAAAAAAAAAAAGGCTGATTTTTATTCTTCTATTGAAAATACAAGGACAGATGCTTCTCTGTTCCAAGAGGGTTTCCTTGAGGAAGCTACTGAAGCAGAAAGACATGATGGAGACGAGATCGCCTCCCCTCTTGTCAAAGTGTTAAAAAAATGTTCTGTCTTACTCTGCGCCTAGCATTGGAAATGAAAGTGACATTTACGCCACAACCCACGTGTGCGCCTCCTCTCTTTTTGTTTAAGGATGATCAGGTCTATCCAGGAAACAGCTCTGGCATCCCAAACTGAAATAATTAGGACGTATATAGACCTGACAAAAATGGAAAGGGGGTGGGGAATCTGAGGGTCTGTCTTGCCTAATTGATTCCGCTAAACGAAATGCAGGAGATGTGAACGGCAGGACGCTCCGATTCCCACGCTCGGGGGCAAGTGGTAAAGCGGGGCCGGGCAGCCTATGACAGACAGCCCTGTTGGGGGGTGGGGGTATGAAAAAAAACATCAAGTGCACACACCATACTCATCTCCATCGCTTAAGAAAGTAAAGGCATTTCCCACCCACAGCCATCTGCAGCCTCCCAAATGGCAACACCAACTGGTCTGTAGCTGCTGCATACTGTCTGTTTCTGTTACTTTTTTAACAGCTGTTTAATCTGGCCATAATTAAGTTTGGCTTTCTTCTTTGGCTGAGATTTTCAATATTGGAGGAAAGCTAGTAGAAAGTCCCATTACTGCCTGCACCTCATGTCAAATTCTGTCTGTACTTATGGCCTGTGACCACCTTTTGGCTTTTGTTTTGGTTGTATTATATTTTCAAATACATATCTCTATATAACAGTCATTTTTATGACTTCATCAGGCTGTTTACTTCTAACAGGTAGGAACGTGGCCTAATTATGCTAGTAGATACACACTGGAAGTAAAACTATAAAGTCATTAACCTATAGAGATTTGATTAATATAACAATGTGATTGAAAGATTGTTTTGGAATAGTGTCAGCTAGATGCATTCTAAACGGCCGTTTCTATTAATCTAAAAATAGCTACGCCTAGCTGAAACTTAGAAACTTTGGAGGTTCCCATTGTAATCTTTTGTAAAAGTCCTTATGTTTTTCCACAAGTCACTAAACAAACATTTGTATAGGTATTTACATATAAATACACCATTGCAATAAGAAAGTCCAAAAATGGCCCGTTGTCTTCCATGTGGCCTAGATTACTGACAATCCCAAACATACAGTTTTTCTTCAAAAGCAGTACATTTTCCTTTGTAGCTTCCATTCCTTGTAGGACTGCAGACTGGAGAAGCCTGTAAAACCACTGTTATTTTCAGTTAGAAACTCTGAGAGACTTTATTAACGTAAATTCTCAATTTGGCTGCTGAACACGTGCCAAAGTTTTACTACCGTAGTGACCGTTGAGAAGACCCTTGTTTATTTACATTTGAAGCACTGTTTGTGCAAACAACCTTTCATTGTTAAGTGCCTTTATTCCTTTCATTTAGTTCGTGTCCAGGGGTGCTATTTACCTAGAACCATTGTCTACTACAATTAACATTTACATTACAAAGTGTGTGGTTTTCTTTCTCAAGGAGGTTCAATTAAGGCAATAAGATGTTTGCTGGGGAAACCTATTGTTTACTGAAAGCACTCAATGGAGTCAAATTACTGAAGCTTTTGCCTAGTCTTGGTCTTTTATGTAAATATGTTAAATATAGCATCTAAGGAAAATAAACAATATTATAATTATGTGTTTGCCATTGTCATATCAAACTTGCTTTGTATCATACTAATGTTACATAACTTATCGATCAATAAAAATGCATTTCAATGTTATTATTTTCATTTTATTTTTTGCTGTTCCACTGCTCTTGCTGCAACATGTCCCAATTTTTCTTTTTTCTATTACACATCAAACTTCTGACATTTTGTTTTATTTGTGTGTGTTGAAGAGAAAGGTACTGTATCTGAGTATGGGTCTGAGGGTGTCTGAGATAAACTCTACAATGACCTTATAATAAGGTGATATTTCTTTGAAATCTGAAATATTCCAAAAGCATGCACATTTAAGTCAAAAGAAGTGTAAATATCAGTTAAGTAGTTCTTTGAAAGCTAGTTTTAACATTGGCAGAAACCGGATCAAGTTTATTTAGCATACCACTGCATTGTAAAACAGTTGGAGTGAAGTTGCAGGTTGCGTGAGTATGCATGTTAACTAGTGGGAACCAAGCACAGTCTTTGTGAAAGGGGAGCAGCAGATTGCTGTGCAAGGCCAATGTTAAAAAGGCAGCTGAATTTAACACCATCTGGAAGAAAAGATCCCTTCACGACTTTCTCACACCGTCAGACAAAACTAGTGTCTCTTGTTCCGAGCCCTTGTCTATGCAACCATACAATACTGAGTCATTATACTTTTGCTGAGAGAAAATTTGAGAACACAATATGGGTAACCAGTGAATGACCAAGTTTCATTGTGCCCGCTTAAGTCGATTGAAATCTACGTCTAGAGCTATGAATGGTAGTATTGTTTTCCTCACCAGGGCTGTACTAAATGTCAGCACAGTGTAAAGAAAAACTGTAAAGAAAAGTCTGCAAATAACTTACCAGATCTCAATTATAATATTTTCCCACACTAGAACTAATATCATTGCAAGGGGCTATATTGCAGAAAATACAAAAAGAAACGAAAAGAAATAGAGAGTTGATTTAGAAGTTATTTTATCCAGATAAACATTTTAATTTTCTGATGGGAACTTCAGTTCAGCCTACAGGCTGGGTTGAGAGGTGGAATTCATTACTGGGAAGTTCAAGTTACAAAAATGTTTCTTGTGCAATTAAAATAGAATAAAACAAACACCTACCCCCAACTGAAACCCTCTCTTCTTAAATATAAAGACTCTCTTTGGGTTTTATTGCTCTAGTTCTGCAAAGAATAGTTAGTATGAATCTAGCTTAAATTTTGCTTTAAGTTTAGACACCCTGCTCTTTCAAAGTTTGCCACTGTGATTGCCATTGCAAAAGAACACCATAGATGTACATTTCCAAAAATATACAAGAACATTCTGGCACCTCCCTAAGGTGGGTTTAGTGCCCTCAGAACTACACTTCCCCTTTATGTTAGAACCCTTGCTCCATTTTCTAACTTTTTTTTTTCCCTCATGATGTGTGTAAATCAGTTATCCTTAGGTTTAACTTTCACACTATATCTATTTGACTTTAAACAGTCAGAAAAAGGAACAAAACAGTTCAAAAAGAGTAAAAGGAGGAACCCTTGCTCCATTTTCTAACTTTTTTTTTTCCCTCATGATGTGTGTAAATCAGTTATCCTTAGGTTTAACTTTCACACTGTATCTATTTGACTTTAAACAGTCAGAAAAAGGAACAAAACAGTTCAAAAAGAGTAAAAGGAGTCGGTTGTGTATGTTTTATTAGGATGTCTATTTTAAATATAATTGACTTTGCAATTTTGTTATTGTGTCACCAAGTGTCGCATAGTGCTTAACATGTAAGAGCAAAACAATGAGTAATTGCTGTTTTGCTGAATAATACATCTGAGTTGCCAACGTCAAAGGTATTATTTTGTGTATTTCTAAACAGGAACGTTAACTGCAGGTTTTGACATCTAGAATCTTTTCATGAAATCCTTAGAAATAGGCCAATAAGATGATACCTATAAAAGTAAATATAAAGATATAACCAGCTTATTTTCCTTGTCCTACTTTATCATACCAGAAAATTAACAATGAAAAGTCACTCAATAATGAAATTACAAAGGATATAACATAAACTCAGACATACAAAAAAATCCAAAATAACAACAAAAATGGGAATTGTATAGAGAAAAACAAACAAAAAAGATATATGAGAACACTACTTAATATGCTTGCAGAATGTGGATGGGTATATTCACCAGTATCAGCCCCCTGCTGAACCATTAATATGCACAGTAATGAGGTAAATGCATTATTTACATTCAAAATGGAATATTTTTCCAAAGTGGCTTTTCTTAAATATTAAATTTTCTACTACTAGTGCTCTTTCTGTTTATTTTAAAAATTAAAATGATTTTCTTATTTGGAAAAATATGAAATTCTAACTTGATTTTGTGCAGTTTCATGAAAATTAAGAAATCTCTTAAATGATAAGAAATAAGGATTCCTACATTAAGTTCAAAAATATTGTTCCTATTCATAGACTACCTATAAACACTTAAGAATATTTTAGTATCTTAAGAATTTTGACTTCTTTTAAAAAGAGAGATGAAGCCAAAGGTTTTATTTTCCACTGTGGCTAGAAAATGAATGAAAAGGAGTGTGTAACTATCTATGTGTCTATTTTTTTCTATGGATCTATACCTCTGGAAATGTCATTGTGGCTTAAGAATACTGATACTGTTTTCTCTCTTTATCTCACTGTGACTGTCTCCCCTAATTTGCTAGAGTAAGCAAAACACATAGTATGTTGCATTTGGATGGGGGCTGGAGGTGGTGGTGATGAGGTGCGTGACACGGGACAGGGTGTCCTTTAAGACAAAGACCTAACTAATTAGAATCAAAATCACTGAGTAAAAAGATATCTATAATACTGGGTTAATTGTTTTCACTCTTTATCTCACTGTGACTGTCTCCCCTAATTTGCTAGAGTAAGCAAAACACATAGCATGTTGCATTTGGATGGGGGCTGGAGGTGGTGGTGATGAGGTGCGTGACACGGGACAGGGTGTCCTTTAAGACAAAGACCTACCTAATTAGAATCAAAATCACTGAGTAAAAAGATATCTATAATACTGGGTTAATTGTTTTCACATTAGTTCTTCTAGACAGTTAAACAGGTCCTGTTTTACAGCAATGGGGCATGTAAGGCAGTTCTTCAGTGTCTCCGGATTTTAATGGATGGCTTTGTTATCCTGATATTCTGTTCATCGGTTTCTTAGCACAAGTTAAACAACCTAGTACAGAAATCAGCAGAAACCTCCATTCCTATTTGCTTAGAGAACTCATTTCACCCTTTCTAGGAATTGTTTTACTTTTTTATGGAATTAATTCTAAGACGCTGAATGGAAATGAAAAGTATAGCTGTAATTGCTGGTAAGGAATATCTGCCTGCCCTCAATCAGGGCCGCTAGAGTTAGTGCCACTTCCTTAGGTGATGACCATCTTTGAGGTGGGAGCATGTGGCTTTCCGCTTTGCAGCCAACTGCCAGACCACAGGAGACAGGGCTTTAAAAAGTGCAGTTAATCGACTTTATTCAGGGGAATATGGAGTTCTGAGCCATATTTGTTCAAAGAGCAGCACATCACTGTGCTTGGTGGTTTGACTCGGTTTTTGCTGAGCGCTGGCACAACGCATTCTGGAGATCTAAAAATAGCCAGGCTTAGCAAGCCTCCTTGCAAGGTGCTTGGCGTGGGCGGCGCACAGAGGAGACAGCAGACTTTGTGACTGGCTGCGGAAGTAGCTGGGCTAGGCAGTGGCAGCGGTGAAGGCGGCCCGCCCGTCGCTGGGCAGCACGACGCCTCCCAGTGACCGCCAACAGCCGGAGTCCTCCCCTAGCTGCGGCTGCTCTAGGCCCTCGCCTGAAAGCGGGCTTCTGATTGGTGTTTCCCGGGAGACGGGCAGCCAGAGCTGCCGGAACTGTTGCGCCGGCGCGCGCGTTCCCGGGGCTGGAGCGCGACTGGGAGGACGGGGGCGCGCCGCGGCCCGGGTAGCTAGCTGGGAGGCCTCCCAAGTTCGCGCGAGCTCGAGTTCCCGCGCCCGCCCTTGGCTTGGAGGCTGCTGGATTGGGGCGCCGCGCCGCAGGACCAGGCGGAATCGGGCCGACAGCGTCTCCGGGGCCTGGCACGCTGAGTTGCGTCCGCGAGTGTTGTTCTGTGTTTTTTGATTTGCCTGCCCCTTGGCCCCTCACCAGCGACCCCGGGCCCTGCCTCTGCGCCATCTCGGGTCTGCGGTTGCTCGGGAATTCCTGAGTTTGGCTTCTGAATGGGGGTGGCGTCGAGGTTGAGTCCCGCCAGGACGTCCATTAGAGGCAGGCATCTCCTAGCGGCCACCCCTTGCCGCAGGGCCCCTCCTCAGGCTAGCAGGCAAGTTGTGGTCAGTTTTGCCCAGGCGTTTTTCCTGCATATGATCAATACCATGAATGAAGATAGTGTGTCTCTCTCCCGCCCCTTCCTCCTTCACCATTTTTTAACCTAGTGAAATTCAGCTGCTAACGGTCCCACTCCACCCGCGGGGAAGCCCTTGGGGACTGGGGGTGGGGGTGGAGTTTTGTTCGGGAGCCGGGGTTAGCGCACGTCGACTGGGCCCTTCCCTGGAGCAACTTCCACCTCTACACCCATTGCTCATTAGGAGCTCAGGGGGCATCTTCCCCTATCAGATTTGCTGGAAATATTAATCTCCTTGTTGGGTGGATACAGTAAAACTTGTTCAGAGATTACTTTAAAAAGAGATCTGGGTCTTAAGCACTTACTAAAGCCAGTTAATAACATCATGCATGGACATTTAAACTTGTTGTAAGTTGCAGAGAGGATTAGCGGGAAGTCACGCTGTGCGCAGCTAATGATACCATCTTAACTCTAACTGGGCTAAATCCACCTCGTCCAGCGCAGGTCCGGCTCTGCGGCCCTCGGATGAATCTAGGAGACAGGACGGTCTTGGAAGAGTGGAAGGAGGGCGGAAACAGGAGGGACCGCCTTGGTGCTCGCTCCAGGTGACCCTGGAAGGCCGCGGGCGGTCCTATTGCTCTGTGGGCATGAGCACCGGGACCAGGGACCAGGCTTCCTGGTAACACGAACCCACCACAGTCCGCAGGATGTGCTTTAGTGACATAGAATGGCACTGGC